GATTGGGGGTTGCTCTTTCTTCTATATGAGAATCAGCAATGTCTATATCGTCATTGTTGTCAGCAGCAATGCCAACGTGGCATGTGCCTTCAAGTTTGTTGTTGAGGTAATCCGTAATCCTCTAAGCATCAATGTATATATCATTTATCACAATTTTTATCCCAAGACTTGTTGTTTGTTAATTATTTCTCCTATAATTCAGGCAGTTGCGTTATTTAAATCATATTTTGGTGGAGCTTTCGATGAGGATGCCATCCGCAACAACTTTGTTCTGATCTATGAGTTATTGGATGGTATTCTAAATTATTTTTCACCTTTAATTTTATTGTACATTTGTTTTTTAATTTTTTTTTTTTTGTGTTATATCATATATTCATATGCTTTATTTGCAGAAATTATGGACTTTGGTTATCCACAAAATCTGTCACCAGAAATATTAAAACTGTACATTACTCAAGAAGGTGTTCGCTCACCTTTCTCTTCCAAGGTATTATTATTATTATTATTATTATTTTTTGATTATCTTTGAATTATATAAAAATATTTTCTAATTTATAATTTCGATAAACAGCCTACAGATAAACCTGTCCCCAATGCTACATTACAAGTAACTGGTGCAGTTGGTTGGCGTAGAGAAGGTCTTGCGTATAAAAAGAACGAAGTGTTTTTGGACATTGTAGAAAGTGTTAATCTTTTAATGTCTTCAAAAGGTACAAATTTAAATCCTATTTCGCATTTTTATATATTTTACATTTCACACCCTTATAAAACAATTTAATTCTAAACAGGTAGTGTTCTACGCTGTGATGTAACTGGCAAGATTCTCATGAAATGTTTCCTTTCGGGAATGCCCGATTTGAAGCTCGGATTAAATGACAAAATTGGCCTCGAGAAAGAGTCTGAAATCAAATCACGCCCTACTAAAAGGTAATTTACAAAGAAAGTTACACTTACACCCTTCACCCTTGTTTATTTTGTTTTGTTGACCAAACTTTGACTTAACTATGTAATGCAGTGGGAAAACTATTGAGCTTGATGATGTTACTTTCCATCAATGTGTAAACTTGACTAGATTTAATTCAGAAAAAACTGTTAGCTTTGTGCCACCAGATGGTGAATTCGAGCTAATGAAGTAAGCTCACTATTTATAATTTTGTATTTTTTTTTTTTTTTTTTTTTTTTTTTTTTTTTTTTAATTTATAGCAAAACAACACTTTGTAGCATTTTATATTTTATTTTATTTATAGATATCGTATCACAGAGGGTGTAAATCTTCCATTTCGAGTATTGCCCACAATCAAGGAATTAGGCAGGACGAGAATGGAAGTTAATGTCAAGGTTTGTAAACAACTAAAATTATGTATAAATTTTTTAATTAATTAATTAATTAATTATATTATGTTAGTTGTTAACATTATTTGTTTTTCAGGTAAAGAGTGTATTTGGTGCAAAAATGTTTGCGCTTGGAGTTGTGGTGAAGATTCCAGTACCCAAACAAACAGCAAAAACGAGTCTTCAAGTGACATCAGGAAGGGCAAAATACAATGCTTCTATGGACTGTTTGATGTGGAAGTGAGTATCTAATAATTTTTGTCTTAACCGATTAAGCCCATTAAGTAAATTTTTAATTTTTTAATTTTTATAAATGTAATATAATAAATTGCAGGATAAGGAAGTTTCCTGGTCAAACGGAGTCAACTTTGAGTGCGGAAGTGGAGTTGATTTCAACGATTGCGGAAAAGAAGTCATGGACAAGACCACCAATACAGATGGAGTTTCAGGTACTTTAATTTTGCTATAAAATATATTGAATTTAGAAAATAATAATCCATTTTTTTTTTGGTAGGTTCCTATGTTTACAGCATCGGGATTAAGAGTGAGATTTCTCAAGGTACATTTTGTGATTTTATTACGCAATGTGTTGTTTTTTGAATTTAGGTAAATATTAGAGGGTTAAAATTGTATTTTTGTAGGTATGGGAGAAGAGTGGTTACAATACGGTGGAATGGGTGAGGTATATTACGAAAGCGGGTTCATATGAGATCAGATGCTGAGATCAAAATGAAACCGTGTTTTTTTGGGACATTTTTATTTTTTTGTGTGGTTGTGTTGATTAGCTGCTTGTTTTTGACTTTGAAGGTCAAATATGTTGTATTTTGACTTTAAAAGTGCTTTATTTGAATTATTTGTTATTACAATGTTTGGAAAGAATAAATTTGCTTTTGAAAGTCGGATTATATATGATGAGTGGTCATGTCCTTGTTTGGAAAATGACTAGCGTTTTGATGCGGGCTTTCATGTGGTCCATCTGTCGACTGTTGTACTTAAAAAGATCATTTCACACTTTCTATTTTATTTTATTTATTATTATAATTGTATTAAACGGATCATCAAACTAAAAATCCGACTGAATTTTTAATATATATATTTTTTCAATGCATTACGAGCGAATTTATTCTTAAAAATTACAGTATTGGATTTTCATGAGATAAAAGGATTGTACTTTTTCATGGGATAAGAGCATTGTACTTCATAAATAATATTGGATAAACATTCTTCTCGACAAAAATAGAAATTGTGGATTTATTATAAATTCAATTTGTAGTTCAAGTAGTTGTGCTTATGCACCCTTTGACGATATATGCTGACGTTGCACTACCTAATTTAGGATAGCAACCAACAAACTTATGAAGATAGAGAAATTGAAAGGTTATATATAAATAAATATTTTTTTAAGGCGAATAAAAAACATAATATATGTAAAATAAATAAAAATGTAGGTGGGATGAATGTGAGAAGAACAAATTTAATTAGCAAAGATGGATGATATGACCCATTAATTACCTACCAAATTGATTTTAATGTTACTAATGTACTTTAGTTCTAGTGCTAACTTTTCATTATGGGCATGTTTGATATTAGAGAAATTAAATTGACTCCTACCTTTTATTCCTACAATTATTCCTACCCACTAAAATTATGACAAATCACCATTCAATTTAATTGTATTTGATATATTCCTAATATAGTCTTAATAATTTAGTTTAAAAAATATGGAAAGATGATACTTGTCATAATTTTATTGGGTAGGAACATTTGTAGGTATAAAAAGTAGGAATCAATTTAATTTCTCTTGATATTAATAGCGTTTGTGGGCTTTTAATTTTCAGTTTTTAACAAAAAACCGATTTAGACAAAAAAATCACTTTGAAAGTTTAATTTTTAATTTAAACAAAAATTTATAAATTCAAAATCTATTTCATATAACATTTAAGAAAAACAATTGAGTTTTTAAATTAATTTTTAGAATTTCCTTTATATATATATATATATATATATATATATATATATATATATATATATATATATATATATATATATATATATATATATATATATATATATATATAATAAACCAATTGTCTTTTTGTTTTTTTTTTTTTTTTTGTAATTTTATATTTTAAAAGTTTCTAATTACTTTTACTAAACATTTATATAACAATAAAAGCTATAAAAATTAAAAACTTGTAATTATAAAAGAATAATTAATTTATTTGACAATTAAAACTTCTAATTATAAAAGAATAATTAAAATATTTAACAGTTATGAAAATTTTAATAATAAATTATTTGGGATTTGTTAACTTCGGGTATAGATAGATAAGAAGCTTGAGAGGAGATGTAGGCAAGTTTGACACAAAGGTGTCAAAAGCTCAAACGTATCTCCAGCACAAGCACAAGTAGTAGATGCACTCAATAAATGACCTAGCAAACCAAAAATTTCATCTTAAAAACCCTAATTCCCTTCTTTTCTCTCTTTCTTTAAACCCCTTAATCGCATCTTTCGCCTCCCCAATCTTTTCTATTCAATTGGTTTCAAGTTTAGTAGGTGCCAAGTTGATTCTCAAAATTGATTTGCCGCACTACAAGATCTATACCTGCATTTGAAGATCAGAGAGCATCCAACAGAAGATCAAGGAAACACACAATTAATTCTGTTGAATTTTGTTCAAAATGGATTCACGAGAATCATTAGCACCACCGCCGTCACTGCAGCAACACCACGCTCATCACCAGCAGCAACAGCCACCGCCCGGTATGAACATGATGATGCCACCAAACTCTTTCCCTACCCACCACCACCTATCCAACAACTCAAACACCGCTTCAGCCAACAACAATAAAAATGCCAACATGATGAGTCCCAATTCGATGCAACAACGCTTCCCCTTTAATTCTCCTTCTAACCAATACGGTGACGGATCGTCTCCGTCCGGTGGGTTTAGGGCGGATGGATACAGCATAGAGCCCGTCAGGAAGAAGAGGGGTCGACCGAGGAAGTATTCACCGTCTCCTGATGGCAACATTGCCCTCGGTTTGGCCCCTGCTCCGATCGCTGCTATTCCTACTTCCGCTGCTGGTGGTGGGAATTTGGATTCTTCAAACGATGGCAGCGGTGGAACCCCAAATGCGGATTCATCTGCCAAGAAAAACAGAGGAAGGCCAGCGGGTTCTGGGAAGAGGCAATTGGATGCTTTAGGTAATCGGTCTTATCTAATCTAATATGTTTTTTTTGTTGAATTTCATGTTGATCATCTACAAAGAAGCATCTGAATGCTTTAGGCTATGTTTAAGTTCATATTTTGTTGAATATTACAGGTGCACCTGGTGTTGGGTTTACGCCTCATGTCATTATTGTTAAAGCAGGAGAGGTAATTCTCCCAATTCTTCACATATGGAAATAAAAAATCTTGGTTTGAAATTAATATCACTATACAGTATGTGTCTTTATTTATTTCAATTCAAAAAATACAGTAGAATTTCCCATAATAGAATAGCTTCGATAATGTTCGATTATTAGGTAAGTGGTGATTGTTTGACATTTGCATGATCAATAGTTGTTTACACAAAGTCTATTGTGTTACATTTGGAGTCCAATATTTGCAAAAGCGAACATTTGGAAATGCACTGTCTAAGGAATAAGCACTTTAACTTTTTCTAAAAATAAAAAGCAATCACTTTTGTATAAACTTGCAAGAAATATCTTTCTGAATAAACTATAATTTATTACATGTTTTTAAGAGAAGATGCAAGTAATATTGTATTTTAGATTCAAATCTTTTGTTACAACTCATAAAATCAATCATACAATTGAAGTACCATAGATGATTAAGATGACAAACATAGTGATTGAGGAAAGCTTGATTCTTCTCATTGTTCTTTTCTAATTAAGTATCTAAAAATAGCATTGTTACTCTTCTTTCCTAATTGAGTATCTAATAATAGCATTCATTACCAGATCACATATGTAAATTCCCCTTAAAGGTTAATATGGTAAATTAGCATAGAAACACAAAATTTTAGTAAAGAGATTTTAAATACTACTACAGTTGTAGATAATTTTGCAGTGTCTCTTGAAAAACTATTGTATTACCAATTACTTGATCTTGATTATATTATGAAAATTGTCTTACATTATTTCCTGTATACATGAAGATACTTAAATTGTGTTAATTTATTTAAACAGGATATAGCCTCAACAATAATGGCATTTTCACAACAAGGGCCCCGCACTGTTTGTATTCTTTCTGCCAATGGTGCCATTGGTAATGTCACTCTTCGCCAGCCTGCAACTTCTGGTGGCACTGTAACTTATGAGGTTGCTTAATATATATATATATATATATATTTTATTTTTCATTTTTTAATAATAAACTTTTTCCATAATTAATGTTTTCATATATATATTTCAGGGTAGATTTGAGATAATATCTTTATCAGGCTCCTTCTTACACTCAGAGAGCAATGGCAACAACAGCAAACCTAGCGGATTGAGTGTTTCTCTTGCTGGTTCTGATGGCCGGGTTTTGGGTGGTGGTGTGGCGGGGATGCTGGTGGCTGCCTCACCTGTACAGGTCCTTCTCTCTCTCTCTCTCTCTCTCTCTCTCTCACACACACACACACACAGAGATTATATGAGGCAGCAGGCTAACAATGGTGTGTGTGTCTACCAGGTTATTGTTGGTAGCTTTATTGCGGATGCAAAGAAATCAAAATCTAGCGGTGGTCCATCACCGGCGGCGGCACCACCAAACATGTTGACATTTGGTGGTGGTGGTGGGGCGGTGCCTGGTATAAGTCCTCCATCTGAAGGCCCGTCGAGTGAATCATCTGACGAGAGTGGGAGCAGCCCTCTTCAACGGATCCCTGGCTCCTACAACAATTCTTCCCACCACCAGCACCAGCAACAGCAGCACCACCAGCCGCCGCCACAGCAGCAGCAGCAGCAGCAACAGCAACAACAGCCGATGCAGAATCTGCCCATGTATACAAACATGGGGTGGCCAAGCTCCACCATGAACATGCTTCCCAATTGATGATGATAAATGATAAATGATAAATGATAAATGGTAAATTCTCAACAAGAAATCTGACATAAAATGATGATGACAAACGGGCATTATTATACTTGAATTCCATCTCTTTTTCAAAATTTCAAACTTTTTTTTTTTCTTCTTCTTTGTGTTGTTGAATTGGTGATTGAACAGAACATGGTGGATGGGTAGTTGTTGATTAGCTTGAAAGCAGGGGAGCATCTTAGGATATGATAAGATATGAGATTGATCTATTTTCTATTAGTAAAGTACGAGTGAAACTTTGAATTTAGGAATGAAGATTGAATGTACTTGTAGAATCAATCTGTGTCTGTCTGTCTGTCTGTGGTTATTCTTGTTTCAACGTTTTACTTGAGTTTATGTTCGCTTGACACATAGTTATGTATAATACAACAATAATTAGAGCTGCGTTACATTTGACATAAGGGTTTATATCGGAAAATTCTTATTTTGGCTGTTAAAATTTCCAATACCTTTTGTTTGATATGAACTGGTGTATTAAACTGTCAGTTAGAAACTACAAAATTTGATTTTTTTTTTTCCGGATCTGATTTTTGGAACCTGCTAGGGTGAGAAAAAACCCGGTAGGCATCGAACCATCATTGCTTATGTTAATAAGGGACTCTACTTGATATTATAAAATCACAAAACTCGACATTTAGTATAGTGGGTATTAGTACTGAAAACCGTAGATGGTACCTAGGGATGTGAAAACCCCTGTGGGACCTTGTTTTTGTACGGAAGGGGACATGGGAAACTATTTCCGCCCCCATTTGGTACTTGGTACCAAGATAGAGTTTGGGGTGGTGGCAATGGTTGGTTGCAACATATGGTAGTTGGCAATGGTGGTGGTAGAGTTTGGGGTTGAGTTTTAGTAAGAATGATTAGTATATTAAACTATAAATTAGCATAAAATGATTGTATTAATCTTGTGAATGCCTGTATGAATGAATATACTAGATTATGAAAATGATGATTTTTCTCTTTATCATAAAAAATGACAAAAAACATAAGGGAAAATGACATTGTAGCATATCAAAGTTTTGACAATTGTTTAATTTGGTCACTAAATGTTTTTTTTGGTACATTAGAGGGATAATGACTTAAAGAGCAATATATTATTCGATTTGTATACATTTGATAATATATTATTCGATTTGTATATATTTGATCACTGATTTTTTTTTCGTTCACATGTATCCCTTCAACTTGTTAAACTATACATATTTAACTCTTATGACCGGCTACTCTAGGTTAGCCAGTAAAAATGACTTAAAGAAATATATTTTTCATTTTGTGCACATTTAGTCCTTGATATTTTTGTGCATATTTAGTTCTTTATATTTTTTTTTTTGTTGCAAAATAAATCATTTTTGTTTTTTTTTTTACACATTCATTATTTATGAATGATTTCTTTAGGTTTTTCTCATGATATCTTTCGTGGGACAATCATTAATGAGGTGTTTGGGGCTTTTGATATTTATGTCCATCGCGATCTCGACTACTTGGTTGCTTAGGTCATGTGTTCTGAACGTCATAAATTCTTCATACGATCTCGGATTTTAACGAAAGTTGTAGTAGACTAAAAAAACCGAACACGTGGATATAAAGATCGTTAAAATCTGATATCGTATGAAGAAGTTATGACGTTCAGAACAAAAGACCTAAGACAAATCACAAGACCTACGCAACCAAACAGTCGAGATCGCGATGAACATAAGCATTAACAACCCAAACACCTCATCAATGATTGTCCCACGTAAGATATCGTGAGAAAAACCTAATGAAATGATTCATAAGTATTGAATGAGTACAAAAACAAAAAAGACTTATTTTGAAACAAAAAAATATTAAGGACTAAATATGTACAAAGATATTAAGGACTAAATGTGTACAAAATGAGAAATATATTACTCTATTAAGTTATTTTTTCCGGCTAACCTGGAGTAACCAGTTATAAGGACTGAATGTGTATAGTTTAACAAGTTGAAGGGTTAAATGTGGACGAAAATAACTCAATGACCAAATGTGTACAAGTTGAAAAATATATTACCCTTTTAAGTCATTATCCCTACATTAGACCACTAAACTCATATTTGACATGTCAATTTAGTCATTTTCCCCGATTTGAAACGGTTTCCCGGTTGACATTGTATATGTGTCAATTACTATTTATTTTTTGGCTAATCCGATGACACGTGAGATATGTCATGTCAATAAATGATATACGATGCTTAAAACCTATCATCTTCACCTGTCGACCTTCATTCTTCATTTTTCACTGTAAATGAAACTGAGCTAGGGTTTGTGAAACATTTTTGTGATCGAGCTGAAGTACCAAAACTGAGCTGCAATGGCACAATCGGAACCTAATGGACTGTTTGTGATGGTGGAACTCAACTACAAAAGGGTATTTACTCGTAAGCCTTTCTTTTACACTGGTGGTGTGAAAACCATATTCAATGATATTGACTTTTCTTTAGTAAAAGGCGAAAGAATAGTTCGCTTTGTGCTTACCACATGACTTTTCTTCTATGACTTATTCTGAGTGTGACATTCTGCGAAAGTTTCATGCATGAAGATTGTAAAAAGTACTACTATTGTGAACCAGGTATTTCCCTGATGGAAGAGCTTAATCCCATTTCAGATGATGTAGAATATATTCTCTTTATTTTTGATGCTTATGGAACAAATGGTATAATTTTTGTTTATGTGGATCATATAAATAAAAGCATAAAATAATATAAAGCCTAAATCGACATTTCAAATTTAATAAAAATTATCAAAAACTACTTTTATAATAATTTAAAGTTTTATAAATATATGGTTTTTAAATTATAACAATAATAATAATTAAAAATAACAAAAAATTATAGATTACATTACGTTGCCTTACAAAAAATATCAAATAAGTAATTTGTAAATCAATTAATCATAATGTTAAAAGTAACACTAAATTGAAAATCATATTTAGTTTTGTTTACACGTCAATCGCAAGTAGCAACTATTAAATGATATGATTTTAATAAATGTTATAATACAATTCAAAATCATTATAATTTTATATAACAAATTAGTATAAGAAATTATTATTTCATAGTTAATATATCAATAACACAATTGTTTTGAACATGTTTTTTTTACCAATGTTAATTATATAAATTTATTTTGCACAACACGTGAATATTCGTCTAATAATCTAGAGTTGGTATTCGTCAGAATCCATTGCCATATATGCCTATCTCTTTTGGATGCTAAAAAAGTTGTCTCTAAAAACAATTTGTCGATAAATAGTTGTCACCAATTCGTGACAAATCTGTGGCTATTTGGTTGGTTTCAAGGTTTCTGGAAAACAAAATGTATAGGATTATTGACGGATTCTTAAAGTTTTGTTAAGTTGTTTGTTTTATACGACAAACTTGGATCCAACACTAAAACCCATCACACATGGATTAGTGACGTATTAGAATTTCACTTACACCATGATATCAGGTGGCGATTTGCTTATTTCTTCAACTTTAAATATAACAGTAAATTTATCTAATAATAATGGTTTTTATCAGAAATTAGTATGGACTTGAAATTACAATAACAATGTAAACCAAACATCATCTTAAAGGTGGAATGAACTTCTTACATTAATGTGCATGTACTTTGAAAATATAATAGTTGAAAATATTTTCAAATGACTAGACAACATTTGGTTGTTAAATCCTATTAGAATAAAGTCAAACCATATTAGTTTGAGAAAATTACAAATATAACCTAATCCGTTAATTACTTTGTGGAAAATAGCAAAAAAAAAAAAAAAACCCAAATTACAAATATAGCCATGGAAATTGTAAATGGATTAAACCCATCTTCGATTTTAGCATTCCATCTGCAAACATACAAGTCGTTAAAGCACAACCGTGTTTTAGCAACTTGTACGTTCACAAGTGTTTTTTATTTTTTCCGTATAAATACCTCTATCTCTGACTAAAACCGCAGATGAACTAAGTTCATCTGCGATTTCCTCTCATCCCACCTATGATTTTGCGTTTTCTTAAAATTTTTATTTTTTATTTATTTTTATTTTTATTTTTGATTTTGACTACGAAATGGATATGATTTAACGTCAAAACAACTTAATTATATATAAAGTTTTGCAAAAAATTATCACTTTAGTTGTTATTTCTATAGAAAATTTGTTTAAAACTTATCTAATAAAATGAAATCTCCAACAAAAAGTTTGAAAAATAAAATCGTCCATAGTGCCTCCAGAGAGAGAGAGAGAGAGAGAGAGAGAGAGAGAGAGAGAGAGAGAGAGAGAGAGAGAGAGAGAGAGAGAGAGAGAGAGAGAGAGTTCTCCAACAAAAAGTTTGAAAAGTGAAAGAAAAAAAAATACGTTTTTATACCCCTGAAAAAGAGAAATCACAGATGGACGCAAAATCACAAATGAACTGAGTCGATTTGCAAACATACAAGTCGCTAAAACACGAATGTGCTTTAGTGACTTGTACGTTCGCAAATGGACAAGTAAAATCCTAGATGGACTTAGTCCATCTGCAATTTTGGTTGCTATTTTTGTAATTTGGATTTTTTTGGGCTATTTTCCATAAAGTAATTAAAGGATTAGACTATTTTTGTAATTTTCTCTATTAGTTTCGATGAAACATAAGTAAATGCTCACTTATCTATGTTAACTTGCACAAAAGATTCCAAAGTTCTTCATATATCTTTTGGAGGACTAATCAAAGATAAATGGCAGGATTAACATGACACAAGGGATCTAATAGAACCAATAGTTTTGAAAAATAAATATTTACTCTTGTTTTATATTATCTTTCATTATATAGTGATTTGGTTGAAATTCGGGCATGTCCCTGAATCGTGCTAATAAATTGTTTATTGTTGGAAGACCATATCCTAACAAAGCTTATTGGAAAAACCTTAAGATTTTACAATACATGTTTGAGTACAAAGCCAATACTATTAAGGAA